TGTTTACACTGGCGCTTTACAGCGCTGTAACTTGCTGTGCTCAGGGGTGTTTTTTCACACCCCTGAGCGAGAAAGTTGCAGCGCTGTAAAGCGCCAGTGTAGCCATAGCCTAAGCTAGGGTCAGAGTTACCAGAATTAAAAAGATTTTCAAATAATTGCCAAGCACATGCCTTACCCATCTGAATACTTTGACTCTCATTTTAAGCTATTGTTAACTCAAGTGCCTTGATAGGCACCTTGCACTATTTTATTCTTGAGTTTTAGTGGTATATTTTCTGAACTTGAGGTTTAGACCCTGTCCTATGACATATCTGAATAAACTGAATAAATGACTAAAATGAGAATATTATTGTGCTTCTCTGGAAATTCATTTGCTTTTCCCTTTATCATTCATTTCTTAAATTCTTACTTAAAAGATATTCAGACATGGATTCTCACAAATGAAATTGTTTAAGAATGCAAAATTAGGACTCCTACCACAATAACAGAAATGTTAGCCTTTAAGTTGCCATTAGTTCATTTTTTTGTTAAAACGTTCAGAATTGTGGATTTCATGACAAATAAGAAGATCGGTAGCTTCCTAATAGTTAGCTTGTTGATGGCCAGCTGACTTTCAATTTGATAACAAGAACATGTTGCCCTTTTCTATTACACTGCACATACTGTTTAGAGATAAAAATGTCTGGCTTTCAGCAGGCAGGAAATTTAATTACAGTTAAAATGCAACAGGCCATTTACTGCACAAATGTTGAGCAGCTGACTGTGCCAGCAGCAGTACCATTATATTTAACTCTGATACAAGAGTGACAATATATTATCATTTCAGACAGGACAAAATATCCCGCTGTTACCACTGTGGCAAAACTCCCACTGGTGTGAATACAAGATTTTCCTGAATAAGCACAGAGTGGATTGTTTGAATAAGGATAACCGGATATGGCTCAGACATAGCCTACAGTTATAGGACGGTAAGGCATAGGTATAAGTTAAAGCAGTAATGCAATGAGCCTACAAGCCTCAAGGCCTGTAAGACAATAGCTTAGTTAAACCAATCAAGGCATAAGGCCCAAAAAGGCTTAGCATAAGCATCTAACCAGGAGTAACCCTAGGTTATAAGATATCACAAACTAGAATGCTATAATAAACTAAACTGCTAACAGGTAACCTCAAGATGCCAGTTGATATCAGTTTTAGTTACTATAAATTAGGACTATCAGCAGATGTCCGACCACGAGAATGCCATGGTAACTAATTGACATACAAACCAATAAGTTTGAGGTAAAAGGCCTAGTAACCTATGGGATAAGGGCCACCCCAACATTAGTAGGGTCTGGAAATACAGATAAGGAAAAGGGACACCCTTACTGAATATGCATTAGGCACAGTGGGCATCATTGTAACACATTGTAAAAGCTATCAGAGGGGTAGCCATGTTAGTCTGGATCTGTAAAAAGCGACAAAGAGTCCTGTGGCACCACAGGACTCTTTGTCGCATTGTAAAAGCTTTATCCCATCCTGCATACCTTGGGAGATGCTAGGATGATGACCACTGGTAGTGATGATGATGGTAAGGACGATAAGTAACACTTCAGGTTTTTCTACAAGGGAAGTGGGGCGGGGGGGGGGGGGAATATATGGATGCTCAGATGCTCATTTTAATACTATCTCTACCTTCTTTGCTGTGTTGGAGTATTTGTGACTTTGCTAATTGTGCTAATAAAGATATTACAAGGACAAACCACCTTCCCCTAAGGATGAGTGGCTTTCTTGTGCACACCAGGGTCTTTAAAATAACTAATACTTCTAGGTCTGGTCCTGGGACAGAACCTTGCCAAATTATAGAGTGTTAATTGGCTTATCTAATTAATCAATAACTAACATACAACCAGTGCTTTAAACAGTAGCTCTGTTGTGGTTTTATCATGATATTGATGATATTTGGTAGTGTCCTTAAAGTCCCAGTATCTGGAGTCCTGTGATTACTTGATGCATCCGAAGAAGTGAGGTTTTTACTCACGAAAGCTTATGCCCAAATAAATCTGTTAGTCTTTAAGGTGCCACCAGACTCCTTGTTGTTTTTGTGATTACTTGAGAATCTCAGCATATTTTTTTTAATTAAAAATTTCTAGCTTTCGTGATTGTGGAGGAAAGCTTGACAATATGGTTTCTAAAAGCCCAAAACCTAGAAGATAAATTTAATGGCCCTGAAATTGTATTATTTTCTAAAATCTCATGATTATTGCACCTATCTCATGAGTTTGGGGGGGTTAACTTATGATTTTTGAATGCTTAGGTTGGCAATGATGAAAATTTTGCACTCAACTGACTGGTTAAAATTTGACTGGTGACTGGCATACATAGTTATCAAATTTATGTACAAAACGGCGGTAAATTAATTCACAAAGTATAATCCCAATTCAGGAAATTATTTAAGCATTTAAGCATGTGGAACTTAAGCATGCTTAATTGCATGTTTAAATGCTTATTTAAAACAACTGTATTTCTGGTGTCCAACAGAGATTGATTCTTGGCCCTATCTATTTAACAATTTATTAATGATCTGGAAGAAACCACTAAATCATCAATGCTAAAGTTTGCAGATGAAACAAAAATGAAGGCGTGCTACATAATGAATCATTTAGGTCACTGATAGAGAGATCTGGATCACTTGGTAAGCCAGGTGCAAGCAAACAATATGTGTCTTAATGTGGCTAAACGTAAATATATACATCTAGGAACAAAGAATGTAGGCCATACTTACAGGATGGGGATTCTATCCTGGGAAGCAGTGACTCTAAAACAGATTTGGGAGTCATTCTGGATAATCAGCTGACTGTTAGCTCCCATTGCAATCTCGTGGCTAACAGGAGAATCTAGAATAGGAGTAGGGAGGTTATTTTACCTCTGTATTTGGCAATGGTGCAACAACTGCTGGAATACGGTGTCCACTTCTGGTGTCCACAATTCAAGAAGGATGTTGATAAATTGGAGAAGGTTCAGTGAAGTTCCATGAGAATGGTTAAAGGATTAGAAAACATGCTTTATAGCGATAGACTCAAGGAGGTCAACATACACCTCTACCCCGATATAACGTGTCCCTATATAATACGAATTCGGATATAACGCGGTAAAGCAGTGCTCCGGGGCGGCAGAGGGGTGCACTCCAGCGGATCAAAGCAAGTTCGATATAACACGGTTTCACCTATAACGCGGTAAGAATTTTTGGCTCCCGAGGACAGTGTTATATCGGGGTAGAGGTGTATTTAGCTTAATAAAGAGAAGGTTAAGAGGTGACCTGATGATAGTCTGTAACTACCTACATGGGGAGAAAATATTTAATAATGGGCCCTTCAATATAGCAGAGAAAGATATAACATGATTTAATGGCTGAAAGTTGAAGTTAGACAAATTCAAACTGGAAAAAAAGGCATAAATTTTTAACGGTTAGGGTAATTAACCACTGGAACAACTTTTACAAGGACTGTGGTGGATTCTCCATTTCTGACTACTTTTAAATAAAGGTTGAATGATATATGGTCTAAGGATTATTTTAGGGAAGTTCTATGGCCTGTGTTATGGAGGAAATCATACTAGATGATCACAATGGTCCTTTCTGGACCTGGAATTTATGAATCTATGAAAAGTTAAGCACCTGTTTTAGTACTTTTTTTGAATCACATCCTAAGTGAATAGTTATGTGCATACGTTTCATGCAAAACTGATTGCATAATATTTTTTATAAATGAGACCCTAAGTACAAACTTTTAGGTAGGAAAGAAATCAGATGCAGGATCACTTATGAGCAAAACCAGCTGTCCACCTAAATACGATAGATTTTGCTGGTATTTTTTCAAAATACCAATAGTTTAGGAATAAGCATGTTATAATGAAGACATTGGTATTTAGAGGACTCAGAAAACTTCCTGCCAATTTTACTATGCTCATTCTGAGTAAAATTTCTGGATCTTCAAGGTTAATAAGTCCGCATCAGCTTTGTATTAACCCTTATCCTTGGTTTACAACATTGACTTTGTGATATTGTCTATAAATTGATATCTTAAATTCAAAAACTTCAAGTTTTCATTTTAAAAAATGTCATTCCAAAAGCAATAGATGAAAATCTTGGGAATAACCTCCATTGTGGATGGTACGGTCACTGGTATGATTGCAAGAAATCTAGGACTATTACTATGTATGTAGTTGAGAAGATTTCTGTTGCAAATGTGAATCGTTGGACTGTGACAGCTGGCCACAGCCTTATGTTGGGAAAGTGAATGAAAAGGGTACAAACTCCAGTTAGCTGAATTTGTATAAAAACTGGAAACAAGTAATTTCTGGAAGCTTGTTTTTCAGTTTACACCTAGCTCTAATAAGCAATAACAGTGCTAATGTGATTATTCTGTATCACATGGCACCTACCCTGTTACATTTAAAAAAAAAGCATTTATTCATAATGGGGAAATCCAATCCTGTCCTCCACAACTGTGAGTGGCCCTTTTGCAGAGGCAGAGTAAAGTGGCTGGGAGAGGGCAGGGCTGTGGGATTTACTGCTTCAAATCTTTCCATCCAACTGTTGTAATAATTTGGACCTACAGATTTACACTAACTGTGAGATCAACAGTAAAATGTGAGTATAAATTCATAAGATGTCACAATAACCGACAACAACAAACTGCTGATGGGAAAGGGTACAAAAAGGAGACAATCTGAATTAATCCAAACCCAAAAGCCTGCTAATATAACTCAAGGACTGTTTAAGATCACACTTGGCAAACAAGAAAAGTATGGAAAAATAAATCAGTGAACCAAAATTGGGGTGTTGGAAACTAGGCCTAATTGGTGGACAAAATGATAAGGGGCTGGGCTATTCTGCCCACCACTCCCTTTGCTATCCTTAAAGAAAGAGACTTTGGGAGAAAAGTTGGCTACTGGTGTGAGTTTTACCATCATGGCTGCCACCCCACACCATCTCCTGGCACCCTAGGACTTCATCATCCTGATCCTGAGAGATGCCTGACTTGACCGGGCCAGAGAGGGGGACCCAGATGACTTCGCCACTCTACCCACGCCAGCTGAATCCCAAACACCACATGGGATGAAATGGGATCGGACTTTAACAACAACAGTAACAACAGCTCCAGCCTATCTCAAGTAACTTCTTTTTCCCCAAAAGGACAGTTATTACCATCTTGATACCATCGAAGAGTCAAACATGTTTTTTTTCCTTCTATAAAAGCTGTCACCAGCTAAGAGAAAGGGCACACAGGATGGTGTTAAAATGAAAGCCTTATTTAATAGTTTACATTTCAAATGCTGTAAATGTTGTGGGTTTTTTTTCTTTATCTTTAATAAAAGGTTTAAAGGATTTTTAATGGTGTCTGCAATGGTACTAAGTAGGCTGAGGTCTCTGTATATGAAGTTCTGAGCCTTGTTTAATGCTGTTTAATGTTGGACAGCTACTGGTTATGTTAACGTCTTTGGACCCCTATATTCCATCTAAATTAATACAACTCACCCTTGTGGTGCATGTACATAAGTAAAGCTCCTTGGGCTGGACCATCAGGCTTGGGGAGCATCTGGAAATTAGCTGTGCAGTACCATCGTTGTCAGCCTAGATGGAGACAGAATTGTCATCTTCCGCTTCAAGACTTTGTCATTTAAAAAAAAATCTGCTCTGGTGGTCTTCTATTGTTTAACTGTGACAAAATGTAGTAGGAGTAACTGTTTCAATGAGCCTAATTTTAAGATGCTGTTTTTAAAAAAATACCAACCCCCCCCCCCACAAAACCCCAACAAATATAACATTTTCATCATAGGCATTTGAGTTCCCTGTGAATGTTTGAAAGTACTTGATTATTTGTTACCTATAGCTCAAAAAACATTAGGATTGTAGGATTGTAACTTCTTAAAAAATGTGTGAGTTGTCTGGTTCAGTAGCATATGATAAAGCTGGATTTATGCTACAAACACAGAAGGAGAAACATGAGTGCTTACTAAATTCCACATCTTCACAGTGATCCATAATTATTTTTGTTGCAATGGTGCATAATGAAAGTCAAATAGTTATCAATGGAAATGGAAGATTTCAGAAGTTGGTAGGGTACTGGAAAAGCATTTTTGCTCTACTGTCATTTAAAAAAAAAATTCTCCTTAATTAGAGAGGAAAAACTATTCCAGACAAATACTTCTTGAAAGACATTTGATATTGCTACAACATTGGCCAGATACTACAATGTAATGCTCGGTAACAATTCAGTCCTTTTTTTCTATAGATGATTGCCTAGAATCGTTTATTTAAACTTGAAACCTGGAGAGAGTCCTGACTCGTTTGACATTATCAGTATCTTTGTGCCCCACATACACTGTATAGTTAGAGATTGCTGAGATTATTAAACACCTAATTCATCCCCAGGGACAGAGTGATTAATTAGCCTTCAAAAATGCTGCTAACCTGGAAACTTAAAATATACATTAGCTTCTTGTGTGTATTCTTGGTGGCTACACGTGATAAATTCCTGATGTGCATAAAATTACATTGCTTTGATTTATTGTTTTGTGTGTTTAAAACTTTTTTGCACTTTCTCTTTCTCCCACCAGTACGTCATATGTGCACCATGTGGGTTCTTATTGTACTTCTTTATTTTTCATGTCACTCTTGATAATAATGATAAAAAAAAAGGAAAACACCCCTGCTTTCTCCCTCTATGAAATGGGAAACTTTTTCCTAAATTGAGCCTACTGTAAGCAACGTACTTTGATTGCTGAAATTTCAAATTGCACTATAAAAATACTGACTTTGCAGGTTTTATTAATCCTTATTTAAACCACAAATGTACACTACCTCCCATATTTTATGGACATTCAGTATTTTGCCAGAAATGTATCAGATCCATATTTTCATCTATAAAAGATGCTATTTTATTTTTTATTACAGGGAATGCTTATTTTGGACCGAACAAATTTTTCTTTTCTTTTCTCTCTCCCCTAGAATTGTGTCCACTTGATTAATACTTTTCTTAGTAGATTCCCTTTTCATGACTACAAATACAGAATTTATTATTTTGTTTTATAGGCTATTTTAGTGTATTTAAAATCCCAACAAGAGATCAAATTCTAATCAATTCAACTGAATTTGCCTGTTTTTTCTGGAACAGAAGAAATGATTGAAATCTTCCATTACTATCAAATTACTTTTATAATGTAAAGCTGCTTAAGTTAACATTGTCTTTTTCATTAGTCTTATTTGACTCCTACATCCATTGAAGGGAAAGCAGAGGGAGAACCCCTAAGACTCTTGGTTAATTAATCTTATGGAAATTCTGACAGTTCCCATAAATCTGAATACTAAAGAATGTCACAACATTAAAGTGGAGGTAGGAGCCATGCATTTTGCATATCTTCTTTGAAATGCATTGCTAGGGCAGAATTTCCAAATAGTCTGTCAGGAAAGCTTTTTGCCACTGTGGTGTCTCTAAGAAAAAAAATTCATGCCATCACACAGTCACACCACTCCTAAACTGAGTGAATTATTCTGAAGAGTCTGAGGTGAAGTCCTGGCTGAGGTCTTAAATAAGATTAGGAGTACTTGTGGCACCTTAGAGACTAACAGATTTATTAGAGCATAAGCTTTCGTGGACTACAGCCCAC